ACCGGAAGTGGCGCTGTAGCTCAAGTGGTAGAGTGCTTGCCTTGAGCTGAAGAGCTGAGGGACAGCGCCCAGGCCCAGAGTTCAAGCCCCACGACAGACCAAAAAAAAAAAAATTTACTTTTATTAGTTTAGTCCAAAGAATTTAGTATGTCCTAACAGTTTTATGCCTATACCAAAAATTAATACATAAATTTGGAAAAGTAATATTTGTATTTAATTCTTTTTTACATTTTTTATTGTAAAGATACTGTACAGAGGAGTTACAGTTATATGAGTAAGCTAATGAGTACATTTCCTATTCAGCATTGTTACCCCCTTCTTTGTTTTTCCCCTACCATCCCTTCTCTCCCCAATACTTCCCTCCCCTTCCCTGCCCCCTGAAAGTTGTAAAGTTTTTTTTTCAACATAGTGAACATTGTTACAATGGGTCAGCCTGTATCCTTGTTGCAGCATTTTGTTATTTCCTTTCCCTCCCTATTTGTATTTAATTCTTGATTGGCCATAGTTACATACTAATTAAATATTTGCAACTGTTAGGTACTCCAGAACATTTTGGATTTGAGGATGAGAGATAACTCATTTGTATTTCTACATCCCAAGTTCATCAGTTTTAATGTCCACAATAACTTTATGAATAAAATCATAGATTTTTAGAAAAATTATGATTAGTACTACTTCATAGTCACAAGTTGATGCACAGTACACATATATTAACATTTTTCAACATTCTATGTACATTAAAACTTTTAATTGGATGCTGAAATAGCTAGCTCCTACTTTAAAATTGTTTTTTTTTAAATTTAATTTAATTTTGTGAACATACTGTACAGAGGGGTTACAATTACATGGGCAGGATAATGCGTACATTTCTTACCAAGCATTGCAGCCTCCTCCTTTGTTTACCCTTCACATCCCTTCCCAGCCTCCCCCCTCCCCCCTAAAATTGTTTTAAAGACAGCACTTGTAATATCAATTTTTTTTGTAATATCAAATTTTTGCCTTTTCAGATGTTCATGAGGTTTTATCATCAGTTCAAGTAATTAGACATGGAAAGTACTACAAAAGCTGTGAAATGTGAAAAGATGTCTCTTGACCAGGCAAAAGCATCAGTGGGTTCTGAAGCAGAATATTCGTTCAGTATTAATGACAATGCAACTGTACCTGAGACTGGGCTTTCTGAGAAGACTCCTATCTGTGATCAGATAAACACACCGAAAAAGAGAAAGGCATTTGAAGATGGTCTTGCAGAGGAAGGTTCCAGCAATGAGGAGGACTCTCCATCCAAGAAAAGCATACCTGATGTTGACGTTGTCCCAGAGGAAAAGGGTTCTGGTGATGAAGGTGTTTCAAAGAAAAGAAAACTGGAAACTGATGATGTTTCAAAAGATGAACCTTCCACTGGAGATGGCACTCAGAAAAAGAGAAAAAGAGAACTGGAGGACATTCCTGAGAAAAATAAAGTATGTTTCTTGTATTTTATTTGTACTACAGTACACCAGCTGTAAATGTGCAACTGTGGAATTATACTGTTTTTTACATAAAGTTAATAGCTTAAAAATGTCTGTGTGTGTGTATGTGTGCACACACATGTGTGCCCTTGTGCAGCTATACCAGTACCAGGGCTTAAACTTAGGCCCTTGTACTCGTATTGGCTTTCTTCCCCATGTCCGAGGCCCTGCTTCTTGAGCCATGCTTCCAGTTTTGCATTTTGCTGGTTAATTGGAAATGGAGTCTCTTCGACTTTTCTTCCAAGGCTGGCATTGAACCTAGATCTTTCAACTTTCAGTCTACTGAGTAGCTAGGATATAGGAGTGAGCCATTACTGCCTAGCAAATGTAACTACTTTAAATACATAGGAAGAGATAGGACACAAGTTAAACTATTGTTGGGCTGGTGATATAGTTTGAACTCAAGGCCTCATATTCTTGCCTAATTTTTTCACTAAAGGCTAGCACTCTGCTACTTGATTCTATACCTCCATTTCTGGCTTTTTGCTCATTAACTGGAGGCAAGAGTCTCACAGACTTTTTTGCCTGGACTGGCTTTGAACCCTGATCCTCAGATCTCACCCTCCTGAGTGGCTTGGATTATAGGCATGAGCAACCAGCGCCCAGCCCGTCAACCTTAATGTCGTGAAAAATGAGTCAAATTTTGCCATCATCCATGAAGCGGAAAGTATTGGATAAGCCATTGATGTTCTTGTTTCCAAAGGAACTGGTATTTTAAGCATAGTTTTTCAAACTTTTACTGGCAGATGTTTTTCAAGTGAGATCTTAACCATTACAGCAGCTATGTAAAATAAAAGATTTGTTTGAAAATCATTTGTTGAAAACTCCTCTTCCTCATGTGGAATTTTTATGCAGGATGCATTTTTTTTACCCAGGTTACATTAGATAATTATTTGAATAAGTAGAAGTCACTGACACTGAGTGTAGTCTATTAAATTATAATCTTATGTATATTGTTTAATCCACCAATTTTACAATAATAATATCACAAATATAATGTCTTCTGTTTTGTTCCCTTATAGGATTGCCATCTATTGATTAATTTATTGAATGGACTAAATTAGTGCTTTGGATCTGGTTTTATTAATAAATTAACACAAATTATAAAAGGACAAGGTGAAAATTTTAAACTTTTTTTATGGAATAGAGGAAAACTAGTCTTAGGTCTGGTGATAATTAGTGTCATTTCTATGCTGAGTGAGGTTCACTTTAGTAGTATTTTATCCTTTCATAGGTCAGATGTTCTGATAGGCTTAGTTTTTTATTGTTTTTTTTTTT